ACATCTCCCCAATAGAACCCTCTTACAAGAACTAAATTGGGATGACGTAACTTCGCGATGATCTTAACTAGATTCTCGAATTCCTTAAGTTTTTTGACTCCACTTTCTCCGATTCTCCTAACAGCAAATGATGTTCCATCTTGAAGCACAGCTTTGTATACTATACTGGCACTACTAGATCCTAGTATATAAGCTGAAGCCTTTAACAGCGTCTCGAATTCAAGTTCCGTCTCCCCATCAACCATCACAAGGGACCTCTGATTCTTTTTTTCCTCAGCCTGCTGCTTTTCGTTGTCTACTTGATCATCAATGGCATGGCAGTGCCTGTCATTGTAGTCATCACTGTCCGATCCTGTGGCTTCAGATGTTTCTTCTCCATTCTGGATACTTAGGCACAACCAAGTTGAAAAATTTCGTGCTTCTTTCTCGACTGGTGGTTCTGAATTTTTCTTGAACTGATGTACACTGACCTCTGGAGTCTCTTTGTGTGCAGAATCTGCCTTTTTCTTCTTCTTCAATTGATACACATAAAGGAGGACTATTGCAAGAACTCCAATACCGGCTAAGTCCCCAAACGCGATTCCCGCTATTGCCCCAGGTTTTAACCCATGTTGTGGTGGATCCTGAGCTGCAGTTGAAGTTGTTCCTGGAGAATCTGGCAGGGGGGTCGAGCCGATTGTTTTTGGTATGGCTGCAATTGCAGGAGGAGAAGTATTTGTTGAAACGTTTGGTGGATTTGACAGTGTTGAGGGAACTGTACAAAGCTTTTTGAGTGGCTTCCCACAGAGATCTATATTTCCTGCATAAGAATCAGTTTTCTGGTTAGATAAGGCCTTTGATTCCGGGATTTCTCCTGTCAGGCTATTGAACGAAAGATCAATAGTCGAATTTGCTGGGATTTTCTTCGCAAAATCTGAAGGTACTACTCCAGAAAGCTTGTTGGAAGAAAGATTCAAGTATCTCAAATTTTCCCCACCAAATTCAACAGGCAATGATCCTTTAAACAAATTCGAAGAAAAATCCAGGACTTCAATATACTGAACTCCCCCTGGAATTAGGCCTGAAAAATAGTTACTTCTCAAAGAAACCACTGTCAGATTTTTCAAAGAAGTTAAACTCTTCGGAACATTTCCGACCAATGCATTTTTGGAGAGATTAAGAACCTTCAGACTGTTTCCTCCTACAGTGAATTCTTGAAGTCCACCGGAAATTGAATTGTTGGACAGAGAAAGAACCTCAAGTTCTGAAGCATTGAAAATTGAAGTCGGGAGAGTTCCAATCAAGAAGTTTTTGGAAAGATCTAGGGTCTGGAGATGTTGAATGAAGCCTAAATCTTCTGGGATTGTTCCAAAGAGCTTGGAGTTTGGGAGGACGAGGCTAATGACTCGAAACATGTCTGGAGCACCAGTCGAGGTTTCGACTTGAGCACAAGTTACACCAGTCCATAGACATGGTGTAATATCATTGTAGTCCCAATTATCAAGAACTGACAAAGGGTCACTTAGAATAGAGTACTTGAAAGAAAGCAAAAGACTTCCATCTAAGTTGAGGCCAAGAGCAGGAACCATAAGGAATAGAAGAAAAAGTGAAAATGTACTGAAACAAAGCTGATTATTTCTTCTGGTTCTCCAGCTCATTGTTTCAAGAATTAAAAACACTTCAGCACTGTATACTGAAGAGACCCCTATTTGACAAGGAAGAAGAAGGGAAAGAACGCAACCAACTACGAATATGTTGTTTTGTTCACCAGAAAAAGATAGGAATTAAAATCTGGAGAGAATAATGGGAAGTTGTTAAGAGAATAGGGAAATCATTGCTATAGATTATCGAACATATAATAAAACGAAGAAACAAAAAGGATTCACAGAGCCGACCCCAACTTTAATGGGATGAGAAAACGAGAAGAGAACAAAAGGTGATAATTAGATATGGAGATATATTAAAATTTTATGGAGCATGGGAAAATGTAGTGAATTGCTAGTATTGTACTTCACTACTTTGTTAAAGCCTTGTAAACTTGAATTCTTTCTTGCATTTATTTAGGAAGAAAAAGCAGAGAGGAATCTTTAATTTTTATGCATTTTTGCTACAAGACACGTACAATGAGTTGGACCCCAGAGGACATTTGTGGAGTAGCTAAAGTCCACCCTCTACTGACTTTATTCAATCTTTCCCATACCACCTGTACATCTTCCAAATTTACCCCAAAAAGCAAAAATTAGATACTGTCATGAATCTTGAAACGATGGTTTTAGATGAAATGATGCAACAAGGTATTTGAACATTAAAAAGTTTTGAGCCAAATCTCTACATAGCGGCCGCTGATGGAAAAATAAGCCTTACTTGCACGTGAAGGGGGATTTGAGTGTATTAGTCCATACTTTTAGATGAGACAGTTGAACACTCGAAGATGATATTCTTATGTTAGCATACTTTAAATATATGTTCCACGACACCTACAGCCTTCATCTTGAGAAATTTAAAGTTAGCTTCGTGATTCATTTTCACGTCACTTCGTCTGTTTCATTGTTGTACAAAGATATAAGTCTTTAGCAAAACTTTTCAGTTCAAACATATTTTTAGATTGATACTGAGAATTACTTTAATCTATATCTGACTTGTGCCTTTGAAATTTCCAAGTTCAGTCTTTTGTGATAACTGCTAGTTGTAGTCTTACTCCATTTGATTTGACTTCAGAATTAGATGCTTTAAGTTCAAAAACAGGTATAATGTTGATAGTATTTCTATTTCACAAGCTGTACAAAAAGAAACTCGTTCCACGTACATTGGAGAGGTCAAGGCGCAGTCCGAGAGTCAAAGTGCGGTCTAGTCACCCTTTCTACCGACTTACACACTTGAATATTCTCTACCCACTCACTCGTGTTAGAACATTAAAAATACCAATCGCCATTCACCAGTGGTTATGTTGAGTCCACTTGCTATGCAACTACTCAACTAGCAACACAAAGCTTAAAAAAAAAAAAAGTAGAAGCAATTAAAACTAACTTTAATCAGATAAAATTTTATCAAACAGGTATGAACTTTTTTAAAAGCTAACTTTCTCGTTGAATATTTTGTTCAATAACTTATATTTTTAAAATAATTCTTTACTTGCTTTTCAAAAAAACACTTTTAATGCTTAATGTTTGACCAAACATTTTATGTATGTGTAACGACCTAACCTCTATACCCAAATTTTTAATACCAAGATTTAACTCAAGTTTTTCATAAAGCAAAATTTTTGAGTTCGAATTTTTGGAGACATGATAGAAATTTGTGAAAAGTAAGAGTGCAGAGGCTCTCATATAGTAAACAATACAATTATACAAGTTTGAATTCAATATACAGTACTCGTACTTGGTAAAGTTTCTACCAAATCGAAAACGTTTAAACTTTTGTTGCTAATCGCTACTTAATCCAAGGAAATAAGTCGAAACAAATAGGGATAAGAAAACCTTTACAATGTCCAAACATTCCCAAAAAAAAAAAAAGAAAAGGTAGGAAGATTATTGTTTAAAGTAAAAGCATTACCTTGTGTTCTTTTCTATAACAAACAAAAATATTACATATTTTGAAGCAAGTCACGAGTTGATGTTACTGTATATTATGGAGATTGTTTAAATTAATAGTAACATTTGTAAAACATTTCCTGTCAATTGCACAGTTTCCATCACAATTTAATATTTGAATTCTGAAATAATATATTGGTCCATAATCTATCTATTTCTAGAAAAATTACAGCGATGGTCCTTAATTTATTGTCTTAGCAGCCAGCAAGTTGATTTCTAAGCTCTCGTTTGTTTCTCATTCTTTTCTCATTAAAATGAAAAATATGACTATTATTTATCACATCAAGCCACTAAATTTGAATTTTTATCGCTTGTGTTGGGTCCATAACGGCTATATTTTTCATTCTCATTTTTCCAAAAATGATAAACAAACGAGGCCTAAATCACAATAAGAAGTAAGCTGCTAAATCTGACATTTCATTATAATTGTACAATTAGCTCTCAATGACATACTACGTCCAAATTTCAGTTAAATAGTTCGGGATCTTCGTGCCTAAATTTGAAGATAAGAAATTTGATTGCAAATATTAGGATTTTTAAGGAAAAATTAGATAATATAACGGAATATAGAGAAATAAATAAATAAATCGATATCAAAGCTTTTCACATTGTGATTTACAAATATTTATGATTAAATTAGATCATATTTGGTCCACAGGAAGACAAGACAGAGAATCAACAAGACCATTGTGTGGATCATTAGTTATTTGGGTGCTAGGAGTATTCTCTAGAGTTAGGTAGTTTTAACATGGGAACTCCAAAATAATTTTTCAGATTTTTTACAAGCATTCTTAAAGTTTCGAGTAAGAAGACAAGGTTTAGGTTCACACGGCCTATTGCGACAAATGCTTGTCAAAGAGCGTAGAACGAAGAATATCTTATTTCTCCACGTTTTGATCATCAGCACTGAATTCCTCATGCTTAAGTTGACAAAATGTTTCGACTTCGCCCGTCAAGGAATTATGGCGACAAGGGGAAACATGGTCAAAATGTAAAAAAGAAAGAGTTAACTGACTATTATGAAGGCCTTAGATGAGTGACTTATCGACCATCAAACTCTTTAAACCTTCATCCGAAGTCAGTAACATGACGTCATTTTATATGAACCATAACATGCCATAAGCTTGTTTGATATAATTGAGATGAAGTTAACAAGTTATAGCCCCTATTTGATTTAGATATAAAAAAATAAAAAAAGAAGGAAGATTTTAAGGAGTTTTTGATAAAAATTAATGAAATATATTAAAAAATTGTGAGTTTTAAAAGGTATATGATTAAAATTAATTATTAAATAAATTTTAATTAACTTATTTAAGTTGAACCAACCTGAGCATGGCACGCTTTTTCACCTTTAAGACAACCTATTAAAAGAAAAAGGATAAATAAAAGATCAGATCCTTATTTCACCAAAATCCTAAGGGAGAGGGATATGACACGTGTCCTTTTCTACTTCGTTCTTTGCCTTGCAATTTGTATGAGAGAAAAAAGGGATAGCAATTTAGAGGACTGCATCTACTTTCTCTCTGCAACCTAAAATGGCCATGGCTCAAATTTCCAATCCCCTCTGCTATAACACTTCTATTCGAGGTAATTATATTTTTTCCCCATTTTTTCATAGGTACTATTCTTCAAGCTTCAGGTAAAACTATAATGACATTGAATAAATGTGTGGGTTTCCAGATGTTTTCGTGTCAACTCCGGCAACAGTAATCTCAACTGCTGGTTTCTCCCGTAAGTTTGGAACGGCATTCGCCACTGGTTCTTCCATCTGTAAGCCCTTAGACTTTGTTTGCTGCAATAATATACTTTTGGGTTTCAGTGATTTTGAAGATTTTTACTTAATTCTACTAACATGCAATAGGAATGAATTACGGTTTTTGGACAGGCTCTACTGGAAAAGATTTTACTGAGTATTGATTTAATTTAGTTAGGGATCCAGCATAATTGGTAATTGGGTAGAATATTTGTTAACTGAAGATGAAGTGCTTTTGACAATCAGCAACTAATATAAATAACTGCAGTGAACATTTTTCTATCTGTACGAAAATAATTTTCAAAATTGGATTCAACCGTCAGCTTCTGTTGAAAATAGGATTTTAGCAATTTGGAAGATCAGGATTTTCTCCTGTACATTTGATTTAATTTTATTATTACTAACTAGTTCAACTCACAATGGGTATTGAGAGAGAAGGAGGAAGACCACGTTCCCATGGCCACACCTGCCCGTCTCTCCCTCTTGTTGATATTTTCATAGGTTCAAATGCTTTTGGTTTATTTAAGTTAATACTAATGCATTTTAAGGTTTATATTTGCTTTACTTGCATTTATGGTAGTAAAGTTGGTTGAGTTGAATGTGAACTGAATGCGGTAGTTAGCTAAGCTTATTTTCATTTCCAGTGATTCAGAGACATTGCCAAAGAAACCCTGCAACCAAAGCAACATCAGTTTCCATAAGATGTGAGCAGAGCACTAAGGAAGGAAGCAGTTTGGATGTATGGCTTGGACGACTGGCAATGGTTGGCTTTGCAACTGCTATTAGTATTGAAATAGCAACAGGAAAAGGACTTCTAGAGGTACATGTGCCTGCAAATGCTTTGTTGATTCTAGTTTGCACGTTAGGTTACTTCTTTCTATTCTGCTGATTCACTTCTTTCCCATAAAGCAAGACTGAATATAAGGATGGTTTATATTTACTTAGCTATTTACAGCATCTAACAGACTTGTGGTTTCTTATGCATGTAATTTAGATTTGGTCGGCCTGAAGAACATATTTTCTATATACTTGTGACACCCCCAATTACTTTGTCTTCAAGATCAACCTTTGGGTTGAGAGTCATGATAGTGCTTTTAGTTCTATATTAACGTAATGATTCCTATGCTTAAAAGTGAGAATGGAGAGTGCCAATTGAGTTTTTAACTTAGAACATAGGGAACGTAGATAAGGGCATTCAGCATTGTCTAGAGGACATGGAGGAAAAGAAAATTGGAGCCTTTCCTCCATCTCAAGACTCCAACTATAGATAACTTTATTTAGGTGGTTCTTTTCAAAGGAAGCTCTTTTCTCTTGTTGTTTGAGATACTTTGTGTGACTAAATAAGTCTATCCAATCTGAATAGATATATGGGTCCCAGATACAGCTTCAATAACTACATCCTGTCATGAAAGCCTTCGAAAAGAACAACCTAAATAAGGTTATCTACGGGTATTTAGTTCCTTACAGTTAACGAGACTGCCATATGCTAACGCCTAGGGCATTAATTAAAGAGCACCGGACTCGACTCGTTTGGGCTATTGAACAGGCTCGGGGAAGGAGGGCTCAGCTCCTACTAGTAAGAAGCTGTTCCCGAGCCAGGTTCCCTGAATTCACGTCTTCTTAGTCGGGCCTACTTGGCATTGGCATAAAAGGGTGCTCCCAGAGGCTATCATCACATAGAAAAGAAGTGGAAAGCAAAGAGAGAGCATAGAGGGGATACCTCTTCCTCGGAAAGAGCGCTTATGAGGTAGTGATGAGTTTCATGCGCTCTAAGCCCGGCGTACGGGTATTTAGTTCCTTACAGTTAACGGGCTTTGCCTTTCTATCTATCTTTCAAAAATTCATATTATGGGTCCAGGTATACCCTTCTCTTGTGGGCTTGAAAATATTGAACAATCACATGAAAAAGCTTACACTGTTTGGAAAAGGGACACATTTAATTAAATTGTCTTCGAACACATCTCCCCACATGCAGCTTGGATCCATATTTAATTGAAGGCATTAACACGTGTACAATTTTTGTAAATGGATAATACAAGAGATAACATGTCGAAGCAATTCATCTAAAAGTTTAGAGTATTAAAGAAGACACATGTTTCATTAAATTCTTTGACTGAAATTGTCTTCTAACATTCTTAACTGTTAGTCTTTCATGGAAATTGGCTTCTAACATTGTTAACTTTTCCAGCATTACAGCCTATGTGCAAAATTGGAAATAACATATCCTCTGCACTTGACGAATATGTTATATTTTGAATTTCTTTATTTCCAGAATTGAAAGTTGCATAATTCAAGTCTAGCTGAAATTATAGCCATTAAATTCTTCTCTGTTCCTTATCTTCTTGTTGCATGTTCAGGATTGGTATTTTTTCCCACCATTTGCTTTTTATTGATGTTGGTTTTCTTAATCTTGCAGAATTTTGGGCTCACGGCCCCCTTGCCTACAGTGGCCTTGGCTGTTACAGCACTGGTGGGAGTTTTGACGGCGGTCTTCATTTTCCAATCTGCATCTGAAAATTGATTCGATTAATTTCTTTCTGTTTAGTGCCTGTAAAACCATGTATTTTCAAAAATATTGTCAGCCAGTTGTGTTGTAATATTTTCTTATAATTGACCTATGCCAATAAAAGTAATAATTTTGGAGAAAGTATATTCTTGTTCCTTTTTTCTGTATATTCCAAGCATAAAACGTCAAAATGTTCAGAATTCAACTCGAACCGAGACATTGTAGGTTGAATATGCTTGTTGATTTGAACTATCCACGGACGAGGAAGGTATATATATAGTTAAGTAGCTTTGCTTAGGAGGAAGCAATTTCTGCCCTGGTTAAAACAAAAGTTTGAAGTTGGTTTTGGAAGCGCTTGTAAACAATTTAAATTATAAAATATGGATAGATAAAAATAAGTGATGAATAAGTATGTGTATTTATAGATTTCATGAAATGTGAATAAAAAAGTGATTTGGGCCCCGTTTGGTACCCATTTTTTTCAAAATGCATTTTTCTATCTTTTTTTCAACCACACATTCTTTATTAAAATAATATTACAAGTAAATAAAAAAAAATTTCTTATTTTTCAATCACACATTTTCCATCAATTTACTATTCAAAAATCTATTTTTACATAAAAATGTCTCCCAAACACCCTCTTGATCGTTTATAAACTTTAGCCAAATTGCTAACTCAATCCCACTTAAAAGTAGGTCTCATATTGCAAAATATTTGAGAGTTTTGAACGGGGACGAAGAGGAGAGAGATACTAATAATCTAGTTCTTAAGCTATTGATTTGGTGTAGAAACAACAAGGTGAGCAATTAAAAAGGTTAAATGATTTTGCATTATCTCAACTTTAACTAGTCCAAATGTTCCTCGATCTCTAAATTGTTGAAAAAGGCTGAAATTCATGGATACACTTGCCAGGTCTCTCGGTGTATAGACAATGGCTCCAACCCCCTGGTTTAAGTTTTGTTAACAAAGGCGACAAGTTCACAATTAAAAGTAAAAATGGCATACATCTTTAGTTAGTAGTTGTACACTATAACAAGTAGGGGTGTTAAATGGTCAGATCGAGCTTGCAGTCGCTTGTGAACAACGCCAACTTGTCCCTACGTATAGTGAGCAATGCATTTTCACTCCTCGATTTCGAACCAACTCGTGCTCTCACAAGCCATCTTGTACCGAGTCTATGCCACGCGTTTTCTATAACGTGATTTATACCGCAAATGTATGGTGTCAAATTTTGTAATATAGTAAAAGAGTTCGAGTGTCGAAGCCACATGGATTGTAATTCAATTTCTACTAAATACCATAATTATGTAGCTTCTGCTTTATTTAGATGAATGAAATTTGGAATCTATGAGTTAAACTAAATTAATACAATGAATGTGGTGACAAACTCAACAATCAATTGCAAGTTAGAAGAATAATCAAGATGTGAAAGCCTAGGATTGTGATTTCACCTAACTATCAAATATGATTCTCAATTATATATTTATTTCTAATCAATTTTCCAATGTTTATAAGCAAGAACTCAAATATATTTCTATTCCCTCTCTCGAGTGCCGACTAGAAATTAATCATAAATTCCAACTTTAATATCTCTATTTCGAATTAAAATCAAGAATTTATCAAAGTCCTGATTTTTTTATAGAGTAAGCTTTATAGATCCTATACTTTCTCTCAAAATCTATGTTGTGTCAATCTTATGATCATGGCTAAATTTTCCTCTCTTGAGTGTCGGAATTGACTAGCATCTATTCATTCAATTAGTGGCCAATTAATTGAAAACATTATAATCATAATACGATTAAACATGTGTGAAAAATAAATAGAAATAACTATGGCAAAATCAAATCATATCCTCATATTTTGGCTAATCAAACCCCAAGAGAATTATTTAGTTCATGAAAGGAAACATGAAATCTGTACAATTCAAAATAAACAACATAAAGAAGAGAATAGAAAAAACTAGTTTTTGGGTAGATCTCCAATCTTCTTCATCGATGTTGTTCTTGCCTCCCTTTGATTTCTTGAATCTTGCCCCCCATTTTATTCGATTGAATTTTTTAAATTGTAGGGTTGAATTGTCTCCCAAAATTAGGTTTTTGATCTGGTATTTATAGTGTTTTGGAGACTTGGAAAGAGGTGGAGACGAATTGGGGCCAAAAATAATTTAAATGCTTGAAAACTCTAGTTGCAACACTGGCGGCGCCTTGGTGCCCATCAGCAGCACCTTGGCGCCGCGTTTACTGGTGAATTTCAGCAGCAGGGGCCCTGCAGCGCCCAAGATTGGCTCCACGAAGCCAGGTTCGGGTGAAAAAGGCAGTTTGCGTCTCTTTTAGTATTTTTATTATAACTTTCTCGTTTGATGTCAGATTGAGATGATTCAAAGCTTGCTAGAAATATAACTCAAAGGGCTTTATTTCAGACATAATTCTCCAATTCGATCATTTGCTATGCCAAAAGTTTGTCTCAATATGAGACTAAAACTCCAGATTATAATTTTTTTGGTTGGAAATTGATTTGAGATCATATTTTTACTAAATTTGATCCCTTTGACATCTTTCTTCATCCAATTGACTCTTAGCACTCTCGGATCTTCATTGTGAGGTTTGACACAATTTTTGATTATTTTCATTTTAGTCCCCGAACTTTGGATCTCTTACAATTTGGTCATTTTATCCAATTTGTCAACTTTTGCATAATTCCTCTAATTTCATCAACATATATCACAACATCAAAATACACATTAAAACGTTCTAAAACACTCTCAAGGATAATAAAATAATGAATTAAGTGGCATAAATATCACGAGTGTGGAGCAGTCATCAGTCTGTTGCTTGATAAGTGAGCTGAGCCGCCGCTAAGGTAAAGCTAAATTAAATGTTTCATTGGTCATTGAACTTATACATATGTCACGTTATACTCATTGAACTTTAAAATGCTTCCGAGTGGTCACTAAAATTATACATTTGTCACACTCTACTTATTAAACTTTAAGATGCTTCCAATGGTCAAGGAACTTTAACACGTTGCATTCTTTCACCCACTTATCATTAGTCACATAACTGATTCATCCGTTACGCTTTACTTACTGAATTTTAAAATACCTCCAGGTAGTTATTGAACTTCATAATGTTTTCTAGTAAAGTCGATTTTTTTGTGAAATTCGATCTAGATTAAAAAAAGAAGAAGTAAATATCAACTAGATAATGAGACTCTCACAATCTAAGACAAGTATGTTAATATTAGTAAAAAAAGATATAATTTCTCTAGTTGTCAAAATCTATGTTCAATAGGAAAGAAAAATGTTACCTTCAAATTGACTTGAATCTTAATTTAGATTATAATCTTCATGTACGTCTAGAAAATAAAATAGAAAATTTATTTAGAGTCGTCATAAGATAATTCAAGAGGAAAGAAGGGAGTCATTTTCGTGAATAGCATTTTATACTTCAAAATTTTCAAATTTTGAACTATTGGACTCAATAAGTAAAATTCGGTGACCAATCAAAAATATTTTAAAATTCAACGAGTAAAGTGTGATAGAAGTATAAGTTCAGTGCGTAAAGTTAAGCAATTAAATCTTGATGGAGGTATAAATTCAATGATTAATTCGTTAGAACTTTATCGATTCATTAATTCTCTATGTATGGAAACGATCTTCATAGAAGGCTTATAGAACTCTCATGTTGGGTGGGTTTCATGTGAATATTTTATTGAAAAAAAATCACTTGTCTTATCTGGAGGGTTCTGTGATGCTCCTTCTATACATATAGCCCGTGTTTGGTTCTCGTTCTTGCCATTTTTCTATTCAT